CCTGCTCTGCACACGCTCTGCATCTCTCTCTCTCTCTCTTTCTCTCATTCAGCTCAGCTCCAATAATAAACTGTTCCAATTATACACTTATTTTCACATAGCTATGAGAAGTGTTAAACATGGACGCGCGTGCAGTTGCCGTACTGTATTAAAGCTTTAATCAGGATAAAACTGTATATTAAAAGCTAACATAAGCAGTAGCATTTACAGCATATCTAAAAGTATGAGAAAACAACAAACAAAAAACATAGGCCTACCATTAAAAGCCGTGCTTGCACAGGTTCTGCACGATCCTCTTCAATAATATCCTCTGCTTCTCAATCGGGCTCAAACTGATAAGCGATATTAACAACGTCGTTGTTTACAATACAACCGGAGCACATGCCGCTGAGGTGAGGTGCGGGACGTTTAGACGCGCACTAGAGGCGGTTTAGCCAATCACAACACACTGGGCTAGCTAACCAATCAGAGCCCATCGCCTATTTCTGAGGGAGGGGCTTCATAAAAGAAGGAAATGATCAGCCTGTTTCTCAGAGAAGGGACAGAGCGGTGTGGAATAAAGGTAAATGATGTGAAAAATAATGCGTTTTTTTTTTTTGAACGAAGCATTAACATGTTAGACTGCACCCCATAAACACAATCAAGCCTAGGAAAAAAAACTGTGAACCACCCCTTTAAAATTAAACTAAACATTGAGAGTTCTTTGGTTTCCCTATTCAACATTTTCCTCATGCAGCAGTGCATTAACTTCTGAGTTTTAGTTTTTATTGTTAACTTTCACCAATGAATGTGTGAAAGACTGAAAAACTGTGCTGATATCTAAAAATAACACAGACACCTTGATCCACTACCACTTGCAAAGGCTGGACATGCCAATGGACAGTCAGCATGCCTGCAGCTGGATAACTTCCTGCAAGCAAACATGTAGTGGGCTTATAGACAACAAGTGGTGTAAAAAAGTTGTTTACACATTTCTGTTTATCAAATCCTACTGGAAATGGAAAGAGTCACTACTGCTCTGAAAACATCTGGTCGTTGCCTTATGCCAAATCTCTCCAATACATAAAAACCTGAAGTTGTCAAATCTGTTTCTATAAGCAGACCATCAAATGGCATATTCAATTCTGAACCTTTTTCTTGTTTTAAAAAATGACAACTGTTTGACCAAATAAAATAAAAAATAATTTTAAAAAAAGTGTAAAACGATGCCATTGTTGATACCAGTTTAATGTGCAGACACCATAAATATAATTAAGCCATTTGTAGGTTCTTCATTTCCTCAAAAAGTATAAAGTGTAAAAACTGTGGCATTGCAGTTTACTTGAGTGGCTCAAGAGAAATCAAACAATGCCAGAAGCAGTGTTAGTCATTTCATCACAGTCAGTAGTACTGACAGATTTTGCTGCTTCCTTTGGGATCACTGCCACACAGGCAACAGTAAATATTCATTTCATTTGTGGATCATTGCTAACAAGGTTTGTTAAAAAGTGCAATTCTCACAATAATCAGTATTTGGCTATCAGCCCATTCCGAATTATGTATGTAGTACTGAGAGGTTTGTGACAGAACACAATGTTTATAAATGTATGCAATTCAAGAAATGCTTTTTTTTTAACACAAACTTGCTGTTTTTTAGCATTTCTAAAATGCAAGCATTTTCCTCCAGGGCTGATTCCATTGTCAAGGCAGATTGTTTGTAAACAGGTATGACTTTAAACTCTGACACTTACTATAACACAACCACATGTTCTTGTGCCCTAGAAGAGAAGGCAGCCAAATAATGAACTGGCAGATCATATTCATTCATTCCCGCCTACAAACTCCACACAGAGACAGTGCGCTGTCTGAGGCAGAGCTGCCCTCTGCTAAAACATTTCCCACTGGTGAAAGACCAGTAGTTAAACCACTACACCTGACTGACATTTCTTAACCCTTCTCTAAACCATACTTTGAAAGCTAAAAAAAATCCATTGCAGGCATCAGCAAAAACTAAAACATAACCCAAACTCTAAACTCAGTCATGTTAAGATACAGTACGCACAAGCGTTTTTCCACAACTCACAGTTAAAGGGATTGTTTACCCAAAAATTAGAAATTTATGAAAAACATTACATTTGAACCACTGATGTCACTTGGACTATTTTAACAATGTCCTTACTACCTTTCTGGGCCTTGAACGTGCTAGTTGATTGGCTGTCTATGGAAGGTCAGAAAGCTCTCGGACTTCATTAAAAATATCTTCATTTGTGTTCCGAAGATGAACGAAGGTCTTACACCATGTCCTAACTACACGCAACGTCACGCCGCTACACTCGATAAAAGGTATCTTTTCCATGTTAATCAGCGTTTTTGTCCTAACTAGCCACGACGGCGACACGCAAAATATCTAATTTAGAAACAGTTTCTAATTCAGCGACGTTGCGGCTGGAACAACAAACACACAAATTATATGACAGTAGATAATCTCAGGTGATTATGTGCTCTATTCAAAGTTAAATGTCTCTAATATGAGTTTAAATATAATTTTGTGTGACCTTATAGCCATACTGAAAGCAACAACAGATAGTTTACCTCAGATCTTGAAAATAAATTAAAGCAAAGATGTCCGTTAAAACTGTGAACTCACTGCAAACCAACGAGTGTATTCCATAACGTAAATGTTATCAGTCACTCAGTATGTACATTTAATGATGTTAAAAAGCTTGAACATTTATGAATTAGATTATAAGTGTATCCATTTCTTGCGAGTGCAGTGCGCTTCCAGAGAGAGCCCGCCCACACACGTTTCTGATTGGCTGTGATATTTGATTGATTCTGTCGCGTCGCATCGCGTCTGATGTGGACACCCAAATTGCTTGTCGCTGGAATCTTGTCTCGTGTAGTGTGTAGTTAGGACACGGTGTTACAGGTTTGGAACTACATGAGGGTGAGCAATTAATGAGAGAACTTTCCTTTTTGGGTGAACTATCCCTTTAAGCACCCTGAATTTGTTCAGCTCTCTCCCTTCAGCTCTCTCATCTTTCACTGGTCAGTCTAAAGCTATAGAGGATGATGTTCAACATTACAAGTGTGATCATGATGTATTAGCGCCTTTAAATGTTTACATGATGTGCATGTAAATGAAACTGAAAATGCAAAGCAGCTCAGCACACTAAAAGCCTCTGACATGACCCCTATGTTTACCAGGGTAACCATAAATTCTAACAACAAAGAACCAGTTACTACAGTTCATGTTTAAAATCATAAACTGTTAGTGAATCTTCTCAAGGGCATATCTACAGGTGGGCATATTAAATCAGTCAAGTTTTAGCACTCTTCATTACAAGATGATGAAAATACTCACACTGAAGAAAAAAAAAGGTTATTATAAGAATTGTTTACTAATAAGTTCTTTGGGGAACCCAAAATGTTTCTTATACAGCATTACTGCAAAAACTTTTCGGAATGTTTATTTTTAAGAGTGCCGATTGGTTTTTACATACTCTCTTGTTGATTTTTCACTCGTTGGAATACATGATTCTGGTTGGTTAGCTGCTACAACCAGTGGTAAAGTATTTCTGAATTATGATCATTGTCAAGGTCAACACTGTATAACTACCACTATATAACTTGTGTTGTCTAAGATTTATTTGGTAAGCAGCCATGTAATATGCAAGATCATGTACAGTCAACTGGTTACTATCGCCAAACCAACAACCTTGTAAAGCAACCTTGAGTTTTGAAAAATGTTGTTTTACAATGTATGTTGTTGTTTTACGCAGTTTTACAGTAGTGTAGCAAGTATGGCATCTTGGCTGGAAACTATGGTTGCCATGGTGACTTCAAAATCATCTGCATTCAAAGAAAAAATAAGTTTGCTACTTACAGCTCAGGCAATATAATTAACGATTGATCAGGTGAAGACTCGTAAATATGATCAGACAAATTGAAGGCATCAGCCCTTTAATGATGTCCATATGAATGTGTGCAGTGTGAATGACAGCAGCCAGGCACTGGCATCCTCATCCCTCCTCATGAGCTCGATGTGTCGGGCATTTTACATTCACTGTGATTCAGTTGCGCATAAGACAAACTTAGGCAGCCGCATTTGATGTATGAAATCGAGGGAGCGAGGTAATTACCAAATTTGGCTGTGCTTACCCTTGAGACGGTGAGGTCTGTCATGAGCTGCTCGAAGGCCCGCGTCTCCTCCGCCTGTTTCTGGTTATGCAGCGCGATCTTCTCGCTGAACTTCCGTGGGTTGGAGCCACTCGAGCCCGGGGATCCAGACATGGTTGGGCCGCAGAGATTCGAGATCAACTTCGCAGGGAACAGACGGTTGAATGTTGTCGATATACAAATCAAATGTGCTTAAGTTGTCCTTCCATGTCTGAAATGCGTGTAAGGGTGCAGTCCAGATGCTTTAGAGAGGTTTGACGAGGTCGCTTTAATGACAAGAGCTTTGCCACCATTAATGAGCTGGAAAACGCGATGAAACCATATTATTAACAACTTAATTCATCTTAAGTGCAAAGTAACGATGATATATAGGAATTCCTTATACGCCAATATTTGTATGAAGGCGATGAGCCGAATTTGCTAAAAGTTTGTCAGGAAACTGGACATCGCTAAATATTCAAGCGTTTATGACGGTTTCGTTTGGCATCACTAACTTAAACAAGCTCTTGCTTTGTATCGTGGGGGAAATAGGAAAAAAATGTGTAATACTGTGCAACGCCAAACAGAAAAGCTTAAGTATTTCACTTGGATTTACGAAACAAGTTCAGTAACGACCCTAGCTAGCGAACTAAATACTTTAGATTCTGACGAGAACAATTTAAATTATGTATATTTTTGTTATTCCGCATAAATATTTAAGAGCCCACCATTATTTATGAAGTAAGATAGGCAGTTAGTGATATAACTGTCTAAATGCGAGTAATTGATTGATATTGCTCGGTCAGGTACAGGATAAAGTCAGCCGTGACAGCTAACGTTAACCAGCTAATGAGCGATATGACACAATCCAAATATCACAAACGAACTGTAACTTAAATGACAACCAACAGTCGTTCGACTCTTCAGACGGCCCACTTGTATGGTAAATTCAATCAATCTTATTTCACCCAATACTGAACTTAGTTTCGTGAGATTTCAACAAGTGGTCTCGCCAATGTAAAGCTCGTTACGCATTCAAAGCTCATATAAACAGGAAAAGCGCGACAGCAACTTCGCAGCAAGGGAGCAAATCAAGCTCGGCAATCAGACACTCACTGTCCTGCGGCCAGTGACCGACCGCTGTTGTCATACGAGTCTGAGAAAATGTTTAGATGTTACTGATTCGTGAAATGCAGCGGTGAAATCTGATCGTGTAGTCCGCGTGTACTCCTTGGGACTCTCTTCTCCGTGTCCATCATCTAGGTCCACCTGAACTGTGATCCACCGACTCGTGACTCCACGGCACACATTTGTTTTGCCAACTCCGAGTGAAAACAAGCCGAGGAAAAAATACACAAGCCTGCCCCAAAACTGTATACCAATTGTTTAAAGTTGTGTCCACAAGGAGGCAGTGGAGTTCCCTTAAAGGGATACACATCACTATTATTTACTATGTGTTAAACGTGCCATCAAAAAATTATTAGAAATAGAAATTAAAACCCCACATTTCCTCTGTAGTAGATCATCTATTTATCTGTATTAGATAAAACATATTTTGAAACTCTGCATTAATGACCACTTCTATCCATCCAATCTATCTATCTATCTATCTATCTATCTTAGATAAAACGTCTTGAAACGGAATTGACTTCTATCTATCTATCTATCTATCTATCTTAGATAAAACATGTCTTGAAACAGAATTGACTTCTATCTATCTATCTATCTATCTATCTATCTTAGATAAAACATGTCTTGAAACGGAATTGACTTCTATCCATCCATCCATCCATCCATCTATCTATCTATCTATCTTAGATAAAACATGTCTTGAAACGGAATTGACTTCTATCCATCCATCCATCCATCCATCCATCCATTCATCCATCCATCTATCTATCTATCTATCTATCTATCTATCTATCTTAGATAAAAACATGTCTTAAAACGGAATTGACTTCCATCCATCTATCTATCTATCTATCTATCTATCTATCTATCTATCTATCTATCTTAGATAAAACATGTCTTGAAACGGAATTGACTTCTATCTATCTATCTGTCTATCTATCTATCTATCCATCCATCTTATCTATAAAACATGTCTTGAAATTCTGAACACTGGTTCCACAAAAAAAAAAATCTGAAGGATCATGTGACACTGAAGACTGAAGTAATGGCTCCTGAAAATTCCGCTTTGCCATCACAGGAATATATTACATTTTAAAATATATTAAAATAGAAAATAGTTATTTTAAATTGCAATGTTATTTTTGTAATTGTAATAATATTTCACAATATTACTGTTTTTACTGAATATTTATCAAAACATTAAAAAATCTTATTGAGCCTTGAGTTTTGAACAGTAGTGTGTGTATACAATAAGGCTTTTTAATGCTTTGATATATATTCTGTTCTCCTGCTCCCTATACCCTTCTACAAAAGGCAAGCGCCAACCAGCATGACCAGCTCTACGAGACATTCGGTGCTGCTTAGCTAAATCACATTCTATATTAAGTAACTTTATTGCTACCTCAATGGGATCTCTTCTTTATTTTCTGTGTAGCTGCTGGAAACATCATTCTGTCTGTGGATTGTGTTACTGGCTACATTGATAAACACATTTAAGATGAGATGCACATATAGCCAAACTAAGCACCATGGGTAAATGGTGAAACAGGCACTGAGCTAGGTCGGATGCTCTCAATTCCAGACACATGAAATGATATTTAAATCCATATTATGATCTCAGTAAAACAATAGAGCTATCTATGAGAGTAACTGTCATGACTGCTTCCTGACAACTTTTGTTCATTTGTTCAGGACAGTACCATTGACCCAGAAATCTTCCTCCATTTATCATACTTACTAAAGGCTCCGGGCTGTCACATCATCCCCAGTTTTGTTGTGAAGGCATGTGCAGATATGCAACATTTGTTCAGTCTATAGTTCTTTATACGGAAAGAAGACCTCCATTGTGGCAGTTCTAAGAAGCCCAGCATTACGGGCAAAAGAGATAGAAGCAGGATGATATCACCATTGCTGTCTTGTCATGCTCAGAAAAGAGAGGAGCATGTAAGAATGATCTTTGTAAAATAGAGCTCTGCAATATCAAAGTGACTTCAAATGTTCATCATCAACTTTGAATAAGTGAGCAACAATGAATCATCCCAACATCCTCAACTCCTTATGTGGACCACTTTTATTGCACATTTAATGAAGTGACATAGTTATCACCTTGGAAATCACCTTTTTGTAAAAAATATCCTAACTAGTCTGGGCTGCGTTTCCCGAAAGCATCGTAAGCCTAAGAACATCGTAGACCCATTGCCACCAATGGAGCTACGATCAATTTAGGATTACGATGCTTTCGGGAAAGGCAGCCCTGAGCCACTTTTATCATCTCAATTACAGGTGCATCTCAATAAATTAGAATGTCGTGGAAAAGTTCATTTATTTCAGTAATTCAACTCAAATTGTGAAAACATTCTAATTTATTGAGATGCACCTGTAGTTAAAAGTACCGGTTTTATTTTAATCATATTTATATACTATTGTAGTATTTAATATTTTGAATTAGCTTTTAAGTTTTCAGTTTAAGTTTTAGTAATTTTGTTATGTGTTGTCATTTTAATTTTTTATTTAAAATTATTTTTTATAATATATTTTGTAATTTTTAAATATTTATTCAGTTTTGCTTTTAGTAATGCTACTTCAAGTTATTTTATTTCAGTTAGTCGCCAAATCAACATTTCTAATTTTCGTTGAAATTTAGTTACATTTTTAATCAAAAATATTTTTTTATTTCAATTTTTAATGATTAATTAAAACTATTTTAAATAGTTTTCTCATAATTCAATTCAAATTGTAAAAACAATTAAATGAGACTTTATACTTTTCTCCTTAATAGAAACACCTAGTGAATCTGTCAGTGTGAACAGGTGAACGCTGCTGCAATAGCTATTACTGCAAACTGCTTTTTCACAATGTATTATCTTCTATTCAGAGCGTTCTGATGGTACCACAGAGTGGCACAAAGTCACTTTCCAGAGCATTTTTGTTCACCGTGCCTTGCTGGTGGAATGATATTCCTATCCCCATCCAGAATGCTCAGTCCCTGACAATGTTCAATATTCAACCAATATTCAGTCTGTTTTCAACATTTGATTGCATCCCATGCATAATAATATTAATAATAATAATAAAAAAAACTTTGCTTTCACTTTTCCTTAGTCCCTCCCAGTTCTAGCGTGTACTAATCTGAATGATGTCTGAAATGTTGTATTAATAGCACTTCCTGTGTTTATTTGCCTCTTTATGATGAATTGCTTGTTGCATTCATCAATTATAAGTTGCTTTGGATAAAAGCGTCTGCTGCTTGAATAAATGTAAGTGCAAACAATTGAAATGTCCAGATATTATACCAGATTTTTACCTTTACAGAACAAAGCAGCTATATAATATAGCAAAATAAAATGAATAGCCAAGCCTAATCATTTGTACCACTCAAAAATTCAAATAGAAGGATGACCTTAATGTGTGGAAGCTTCCGAACAAAAGGATATACTGTGGTTTTCATTTCTATATTTTAATAGCTTTAACAGTATTATAATGCAAGTATACTTTAATGATTGAAATCTGTTACAGCTTGAAAGGTTTTTGTAAAAAAAAAAAAAAAAAAAAACATCTTTTAAATTTCATAATGAATCTGTTTATCATCACTGCATTTTCTCAACATAATGAGTGTATAAACCGCCATCACTAATCAGTAAAAATATGTAATCATTATTCAACCATTACATTTTGTATAAGAGATGTTATTGGTAACAACAGAATGAGATGGATTGACATTATATGATAAGGCTTCTCCACAAATTTTCCCAACGGTTTATTCAAGTTAAGGCACCTTTAAAATTAAATGGACACAAGGCTGCAAAAATTAGAGGGACGTAAACGTAAAGCTCATCCAGCATGCAGTGTCCAAATGATCTGGAAAAAAAAAGTCCTCATTTTTTGACCAGCCAATGAAGTATACCTATTCATTGCTATTTTTTTTTTTTTTTTTTTTTTCAAAAGCTATTTTTTTTTTTTTTTTTTTTTTTACAAATAAAGAAATTGCTCTGATAAATATATTTTGGTAACATTTGGAGGAATGTGGCTATAACACTCATCACTCTCCTAGACGATAGGGATACTTAGAAACAATTTTAAATTTGTTTCGCCCTAAGAATAGATTAGGCAATAAAAATGTTCATTTTACATATAACATATACAGTATTCAAAGCTCATGCAAGCAGTTTGCAAAAGATCAAAGCAAACTACTATTGATACTCTTTTGGACACTTACATCTCAGTAAAAACAGAAAACAGTCAACCGTTACATATCCAGAAGATACAGGTTGGTGGTCTACGACAAATTTAATAATGTACATTCAAGGAATTTATCCTTCAAGAAAGGCACAAAAGGCATACTCAGAATAGTGCAGGAAAGACATTTAAACTTTAAAGATGGATGTGGTCTGGGCTTCACTTTGTATGAAACAGTCTGTCAAGTCCCTCGGAGTTTCTATTTGCCGTAGAACTTCTTGTTGAGCAGGAAAATAAGGAGGTTAACATTTACAGTAGCTCGATCGAACAGCTTCATCACTGCCACCCCCTCGTACTGCAACTGGAGTAGGTCCTGTTATTAAAGACATCAAAAAAAATTACAGTACAGTTAGTATAGGGACCGATTCTCACTATTAACTAGTTGCTTATTAGCATGCCTATTATTAACATATTGGCTGTTTATTAGTACTTATAAAGCACATATTCTGCATGAACATATTCTACATCCCTAATCCTACCCAATACCTGAACTTAACAACTATCTTACTAACTATTACTAAGCAGAAAATTAGGAGTTTATTGAGGCAAAAGTCATAGTTAATGGTCTGTTAATATTAAGAATTGGACCTTAAAATAAAGTGTAACCAAAATTACATACACAGTTCTTAAAAAAAAAAAAAAATCAAACATTCCTTCTGACTTACATGAGATGGAGACTAAAAATATCAAGAGAAGAACTTTCACCTGGTATTCTAACAGTAATGTCTCCAAATGGACTCCCATAAGTTTAGCTTTCACCTCAAACACTCCTACGACCTCAGATGGCGAGATCTCGAAAATTACATTCTTATACCTGTTAAAATAGGAAACAAGCACATTGTTACAGGAAATGCAGATACATAAACATATAGTACTGAAAGGCATGAACAGATGAACTTCAAAACATGACCAGAAGTTGAAACTCACTGATTTGGCTGCAGATCCTCGATGTCAATAAGCACTCCCTTCTCATGCAGACGGGCTGCTGTGTACTTCTGTGACACCTGCTTACTCTTCTTCGCCTTATTGTCTCCAGGTTTCTTAGAGACTCTGTGTGTGTGAAGCAATGGTATTTTCCATGACCGTAAGCTAAGAGCTCAACAGCAATTATTCAATCAGAGATAACGACATGAACTGAACTGGACAGTAAATACTCCCAAGCACTCGTCACTCACTTGCCCTTGCTGGCTAAATTGTCCATGCAGGTCTTGATGTACTGATTGTAGTAGTCGATCTGCACATTGTAGAAATTGGTCTTGGAGTTGAGGGCAGCATTAGTCTGCTGAAGCTTCACCAATTCTGCCTTTCGCCGCTGACGGTATCGCCTCTGGTTCCGGATGTCCTGCAAACATTATCAACAAATAAATCAAGATGCATAATGGAGCATTTGATGTTTCGTATTCATAGACATTTTGAAAATCCCAAAGGACATAGGAATGGTACCTTGGTGATGTCATTGATAAGATCCTGGTATTTCTTCTCAGGGTGAACTTTGCCCAACTCTCCTAGCCTTTGCAAGTTGCTCTTGATTTTGTCCTTCTTGCCTTGCAAGGTAAGGCTGTCATCCACAACTGGTTTGGCTTGCTTCATCTTCTCCGGGGTCTTAGCATCACGAATAGCTCTTCGCTGCATGGCACGCTGGTACTCGGTTTCCTATTCCAATAATAAAAGCAGATTTGAATACAAACAACTCTGATTTGATTAAGTTTTTCCAATTGTACATTTTTGCATTTAAAGTACCTGCTCTGGTGAAGCTACAGTCTCCAGAATCTCAGTAAGCGTCTCTCCTGGCTGAAACCTGATCACATCTACTATGAGCCTCTTGGTGCTAAATAACAAAGATGAATGGAAAAGGAGGATGCATGTTAAGTACGTTAAAAATGCATTAGCAAGGAAAAGTATTAGTTGCACTTCACAATGGCATTCCGTACAGCAGACCTAAGTTACGATTGATTGCAGAGCTAACAATTCTATAGTCTAAAAGCCACCTTTTCGCTCTCTCCTATAAACAACAAATACCAAACAACAGACTGGCAGTCATTCATTTCCAATGAAGAGTAGTACTGAAGCTGCATGAAGTCCCAACCATATGTGTTTGCGGAAATTTTAGATCCGATTTAAGGCTTTGGACGCATTGAAATATTTGAACTTTCGTGGCAAGACCAGATGTGACAGCCCGAACTGATTTGATATATTCTAATGTACTATAAGATCAGTGACAAGCAAAATGAGAATTACCAATAATTTTTTACAAAAATGTTATTCCTTAAACACAGTTTCTTTAAAATGGGCAGTTATGAATATTTATGTACAAAATAATTATTTAATTGATTAGACATAGAAAACCATACTAGTGGTTATTTGTTTTGTGTGGATATATTCATGCATTCATAAATCACTCATTTTTACAACCACTGAAAATTCCGTCCAACTGCCAGTGAAGTGCAAAAATCATATGCAAATGTTGGAAATAGCAGAAAGGTTTGCATTAGTGGATTATCTTCTCTGGGAAGGAAGCATGCTGCCTTAGAACTTGGACCATCACTAGGTTTTATAACACATTCTTCTGAGTAATGGCAAATGGCAATGGCAAATTTATTTATATAGCACCATTAATTACAACCCATGGTTGTCCAATGTGCTTGACAACAAAATAAAATGAAAACACAAAAACACATTTACTTGAAAATACACAAAGTATAATAAAAACAATAAAATGTAAGGCAGGAGAATGTTAATATAGATTATAAGCCTTGTCAAACAAATACGTTTTAAGATAGATTTAAAAGCAGATACAGAGGGGGCAAGTCTGATTGTGATAGGTAATTCATTCCAGAGTCTGGGGGCAACTACAGAGAATGCACGGTCACCTCTGCACTTATACTTTGACCTAGGGATAACCAACAGTCTCTGGTTGGAAGACCGAAGTGATCTGGTGGGAACAT